AACTGTGCACTAGACTGCCACTACTACCACACTACTACCACCACCACCACCACTACTACTACTACTACAACTACACCACTACTAATACCACTACTACTACTACTACTACTACTACGACTACTACTACTACTTCTACTACTACTACTACTACTACTACTACTACTACTACATCCCCGTGCAAATTTCTTTTAAAAACAAGATGAGCCCACGAACCCGAATGCAGACACGTTCGAAAAGCTACAAATGATACTCTTGTAGCACACTCTTGTAGGACATTCTTGTGGGACACTCTTATAGGACACTCTTGTGGGACACTCTTAAGGGACACTCCTGTGAGACACTCTTGTGGGACACTGTTGCGGGACACTCTTGTGGGACACTCTTGTGGGACACTCTTACGTGACACTCTTGTAGGACGCTCTTGTGGGACACTCTTACGGGACACTCTTGTAGCACGCTCTTGTAGGACACTCTTGTGGGACACACTTGTGAGACACTCTTGTGGGACACTCATATGTCATATGGGGCACTCTTGTGGGGCACTCTTGTGGGACACTCTTGTAGGGCACTCTTGGTGGACACTCTTGTGGGACACCCTTGCGGGACACTCTTGTAGGAAACTCTTGTCGGAGACTCTTGTAGGACACTCTTGTGGGACACTCATGTGGGACACTCTTGTGGGACACTCTTGTGGGACACTCTTGTGGGACACTCTTGTAGGAAACTCTTGTGGGACACTCTTGTAGGACACTCTTGTGGGACACTGTTGTGGGACACTCTTGTGGGACACTCTTGTGAGACACTCTTGTGGGACACTCTTAAGGGACACTCTTCTGGGACTCTTGTGGGACACTGTTGCGGGACACTCTTGTGGGACACTCCTGTAGGACGCTCTTGTGGGACACTCATGTGGGACACTCTTGTGGGACACTCTTGTAGGAAACTCATACTCTTGTAGGACACTCTTGTGGGACACTCTTGTAGGACACTCTTGTGGGACACTCTTGTAGG